TTGTTGCATGACATTGTCTCTGTATGACAGCGTCTGTGTTATTTTTTGTGACAGTATAAATATTGGTTTGTTGTTCCATGAAATGTTCTCTCTGATATGTTTGATGAATTCTGAGAGCTCTTTCACCCTCCCATAGTCGGCAATGTAATTACCACGATCAAGGTGCAGATATGTAGCAAGGAGATCGATAAAATAATCCATGTGACATCAGGGGGTCATCCGTAATATTACGAAGCTACGAGAATACATCTAAAGCATTTATTAGTAAACTTTTGTCTGCTTTGTGAGAACATGAAAGCCTCAATATTGTCATAATATTTAGTCTAGAAGGTGTGATGAAAGAAAGAAGATGGGGTGAAGCCAGTTCGTGTGTGTGTGTGTGTGTGTGTGGGTGGGTGAGTGAGTGAGAGAGAGTTAGAGAAAGAGAGAGTTATACTATCAGATTGATGAAATGATATTGGATGCAGTTCAGGGTAGGATGAAATAGAAAACTTGTAATACTCCCAATAGTTTGTATAAGTGTGTGTGTGTGTGTGTGTGTGTGTTAGCGTGAGTATGCATGCATCCAAACATGAACAGGCCCAAGGCTTTTGTTTGCAAGCACACGTACATATGTGAACGTGAACATGATAAACATGCTCCTGAACACTAATAGTTTCTATTAGTTTCATTCTTTCCCATTCACTTTGAATGGCTGGACATTTTTGACCAGGAACACCACAAGTGTGACTTTGTGCCATTTTGTACAAAATAAAAGCCTTTCAAAACAAACTCCCTGATTAAACATTAATGTACACTAGTGTGATAAACAGTGTACATTTTCATCAGTTTTTATTTAATATTGTGAAAATTATTCATAAATAATGCTTTTTTCACTCAAAAAATAAGGTGCCTACTTTCAGATAAATGAGGCCTACGATTAATCAGAAGCAAATATAAATACAAAACCAGTCCTAAACGAAAGATAAGAAGTTGACAAAAAGATTGAATCCAATCTTTGGTGATAATATAGCATAATGAGTGATTTATAAGCAATTTTTGAGGCCGGGTACTTTTTGCCTGGGAACACCACAAGTGTGACTTTGTGCCATTTTGTACAAAATAAAAGCCTTTCAAAACAAACTCCCTGATTAAACATTAAAGCACACTATTGTGATAAACAGTGCAAATTTTCATCAGTTTTTATTTAATATTGTGAAAATTATTCATAAATAATGCTTTTTTCACTCAAAAAATGAGGTGCCTACTTTCAGATAAACGAGGCCTACGATTAATCAGAAGCAAATATAAATACAAAACCAGTCCTAAATGAAAGAAAAGTTGACAAAAAGATTTAATCCAATCTTTGTTGATAGTATAGCATAATTAGTGATTTATAAGCATTTTTTGAGGCCGGGTCCTTTTTGCTTTGTAACATCACGAGTGTAACAAGGTGAAAAATCTCCCCCAGAAAAGTATGAAAATTATCAAATTTTTTTTTAGAAGTAGTTATACCCTTTGTGAACAAAGTCAAAAAATTTCAGACCAATGCGATAACATTAACTAGTATTTTCGGGAAAAATAAAAAATTTTCAGAGCAAAAAGGACCCGAACATCACATGAGGGTTAAACTAAATTAATTGAAAAATGAAAAACTAGCTGAAATAAGTTTTATTTTATTATTTAGTTTCAGTTAACATTTAGTTTACTTCAAGCAACAATTGTTTTTTTTATGGTTTTAGTTTTGGTTTTAGTTTTAGTTAACTATACTAATCCTGATGTTTAACAGTGCTGCAATTATTTAAAAATTAATGTATTAAAACCGTAATATTGTGAAATAGTATTGCAATTTAAAATGTTTAAATGTTTAAAAAGTTTTCTATTTTAAAATAATGAAAAATGTTTTATTCCTGTGATGCAAAGCTGAATTTTCAGCATCATTACTCCAGTCTTCTGTCACATGATCCTTCAGAAATCATTCTAATTTGCTGATTTTCTGAAACATTCCGTTTTGCGTCTTAATTTTTTACAGAAATATTTTTTCAATATTCTTTGATAAATAGAAAGTTCTAAAGAACAGCATTTATTTGTAGTGCAAGTATTTGATAAAACTATAAATGTCTTTACTGTCACTTTTTAGCAAACAGCAGATTCATACAACAGAGCGTTATAAACCGAGTTTCAGCTTTAAAATCTGATTTAATGAGGCACATTTAAAGCAGTTGTAAAACAGTCTTAGCAAAATCGTTTAATATTAAAAATAAAAATTTTTATTGAACGTGGGTATCTAGCCTTTTTAAAAAATAATAATCTACCAAAGCCTTGTGTTATAGCAATTTTACTCCAATTAAGGGAGTTTTAAGCACACACCGCTTCGTGCCTAACAGCTCTTTTTAACTGCAGTAAAACCACTTTAACATGCAGCGTTTCGTGGCTTATTGTTTTATTAAACACTCAAAGTTCTATTTCATTATTCATCAACTCTCACTCTTAGATGGCAAACAGGGCCGGTTCATTTTTAAGTAGGTGTTTTACCCACAATGCCTCTGCTGATGTGCATCTCACAGCAAGTAGCCCCTAGTGATGGTCTAAATTCTGGCATTAAAAATCTTTTTGTGTGGTGCATTTTAAACTCACTGTTCCTCATCTTGAATGAGGCTCATGTAAAGTATTTGACCCCAGTCTTGTGAATGGAGCTGCTCATTCAGTCTCTGTTAGTCTGGTTGATCTCCAACTGCTCATGTCTTGCCACATCAGCTGTTCTGCCAGCAGAGGACACTGCAGCCTTGTAAATTCAAAGACTCGAACAGAGCACTTTGTGCCACTGTCCACTGCTGAGTTTTGATTTTCAGATATGATGACATCCTGAACAGAGGCACATATGAGATGGACGTACAGCATGACCTTTCACTGACCCTCAGATCTTTCTTTAAATTTTCAGTGAGCTTCAATATTGCAAGTTATTATCTTTATGGTCTCAGAGGCCAATTTTCACAGTCTGAAATTTAATTTTAACTTGTAAATAAGACAAAAAATGTATAGCAGCATGATTGAAATTTTCAAAACCTTATTTATTATTGTATGAAAACATTTTTAATAGTAAATGTAATTGAATATTGTGATTTTTATTATTTTAAGTTATTATTAAAAGTTTACAAACTAAACTAAAATAATTAATACATTTAAAAAATAAAATAAAAATGTATTACAATTAAATAAATTAGCTTCTGAACAGAAGCGCAAGCAAGTTGTACGTACAGCATGACCTTTGTCTGACCCTCTATTTTTTTCTTGCTTTCTGTTTTTGTCAGTGAACTTCAATATTGCAATTTTCTTTTTCTTTTTTTATAATTTATGGTCTCAAGGTGCAATTCTCACAATCTGTTATTATAGTTTAACTTGTAAAAAAGACAAAACATGTATAGCAGCATGATTGAAATGTTAGCATGATCTGACTATTTATATACATATACACAAAACCTTTGTGCATTAAAACGTATTTAATAATTAAATATTTATTTTAAATAGTAAATTATTATTATTATTTTTTAATATATTTATTTATTAAAAAAATTATGTATTTAAAAAAAATTAAGCTTGAATTTCTCAGATAGATATATGTGTGGGCCTGGCCATGATTAATTGCATTTAATAATTTTTATTTATCTTTTATTTTTTTATATAAATAATGAATGCACTAAATTAACACTTTAAGTTGACAGCTCATAACTCAAATAAAAATTAAAATCTCATTGTCTGTCTTTCAGTATAAGAGCGCAGGAGTGATTGAGCTGGAGACCTGTATTAAGGCTGTCAGAGTGTTGGCCATTCAGAAACGAGCCATGGAGGCTTCTGAATTCCTGCAGAATGCTGTTTACATCAATCTAGGCCAGGTGATCACTTGCAACAAGTCTGTTTTCAAAGATGCTGAATTAGGAAGGGTCTTTGAACGTTTGTCTATGTGCTCAGCTGTCAGAAGAGGAGAAGATCCAGCGTTACAGTGTGCTGTCAGAGCTCTACGAGCTCATCGGCTTCCACCGGAAATCAGCGTTCTTCAAACGCGTCGCGGCTATGCAGTGTGTGGCGCCTACCATCCCTGAACCGGGCTGGAAGGCCTGTTACAAACTCCTGCTGGAGACCCTGCCAGGATACAGCCTCTCTCTAGACCCCAAAGACTTCAGCAAAGGTAACCCGAGATTACACAAGGCTGTTAAGCCATATTACAAATGCTTTTCTATGTTCTGTGTGGTTTCTAAAGACTGGTTGGAGTACAAGTGTTCTCGTTTGTCAGTAAATGGAGACTTTCATACGGGTGAATTTATGCATGATTCAAATCTAGTTGGGATTTTAACAAAAATAGTAATTCAGAGTCATTGTTTGTTCAATTTTACTGATCATTTGAAGGACAGCGTGTCTGAAGTACCACTACTGGCAGAAACACTTTCCAACGTTACTGAATGCACTGGCAGGTTTTTTTGTTTTGTGCTTTTTTAAGGTGGCCTTCATTTTTTTTATAGAAAGGTGTTATATAGTATTTGTATGTTGAATTACTGAAATAACTCAAATTAAATAAAACTAAAACTTAATAAAAATACCTATCTAGACATAATAAAAAACAAATAAAATGGCAACATTACTACAACTATAACTAAAATAGAATAAACTAATACAAATCAAACTACATTAGTTTATCAGTAATCCTAAAAAAATAACACTGAGTCAAACACACATGCTAAAATAACAACAACTTACTGACATATAGTAAATGGTTATAAAAAAACTGAAACAGAAGTGAAACAAGTAATAGGAAAGAGGAGAAATAAAAAGCGATACTTATCCTTTGCCGGTGTCCCCGCCCGGTGGAGTCGCACGGTAGAGTCGATGGTCTTTACACACTTCGGTCTAAACCACGACCGCAGCCGCGACCGCTTCCGCGTTAAACTAAGCTTCTTTTTTATTCCTTTAACAAAACTCAAACTGAATTCAGCTGGACACACTTTCCTGTTTATCACAACAAATGGCCAAGCAAAGCGCACGACTCTGACAAGGTACGCGATACAGTACGAGATGTAACTGAATGCACTACATTGTGAATGCATATACATTTCTTCTTGGCCTTGTTGTAGTTGATGTGATTGTTTATGTCTGGATAGACTGAAGAAAATTGTGCATGTCCAACAACCCAAGTACTGAAGCAGTGTTACTTAATTATTATCTATATACTATTGTAGTATTTATTAATATTTTTAATTGGATATTTTAAATTAATTGCCAAGGCAACTATTTTTTTTAAAGCTCTTCATGTAATATTTATATTTAAGCCTATATTTATAAACTTTATTTCAGCTTTATTTCAATTAACGAAAATTAATTTGAACAGTTTTAGTATGAAAGCCTTATTATTCATCTTTTCATGATCCCGACTTAAGTAAAGCTATTTTCAAATTTTTCCTGACATTTTTAGAAATAATATGCAGATAATATAATGGATAATAAGAGCAGTCAGACTCCAAATTATAAAGTAATGATTATATTAGTTCTCAATAGTTTTTTTTTTACACATATTTATAATGTTTATATTCATTTGGCCCTGTATTTCATTACAATTAGGCACTTCTTAAATGAGACTGAGACTTTTTTCTGTCAAAATCATTACAAAATTACAAGGGAACAAGTTATCTCATGATCAAGACAAAATGAGTAATGTTTTATTCTGTCTAGTTTTGCTCATCCTGTTCTGTACATGTCTGTAGCACCATCAGTCAAAAACTCATATCAGTCGACCAGTCGTCAGGAGGAGTGAATAAGGTTGAATATCTATTTTGCCTGGCTGAAAGGCATTATCCTCCTCCATGTCCTCCGGCCTATTTAGACAGACTCCTGTTGACAATAAACAAAGAAGTAATGTGCATGCGAGTCTGGAATAGAAATGCGGCCTGCATGCATTATGATGCGAGTGATGTACATGCCGATGTCTCAAGGCTTTTGAACCTGGGTAATGACGTCCCACCCCCCCACCCCCTCATGTTTGCTCTTTTAATTGGGTTAATGCTGTCGTTTTTTAAATAAATGCATGCTATTACTTTGTTTTATTTCATGGTTGTCCTCTCGACCCGTTTTACCTCTGTTTACTGGCGTCTTTCGCAATACAAGAGCAGAATATGAATAATTTGAATTGCTCATTTTTCTTTAAATACCTCAGACTCATAAACAGCCATTGGTTGATTTGTAATCTGCCCAGACGGCATTGAAGTGACCTTGTCCCTCTTTGTATGCTTACAGAACAGCGTTGTGGGTTTTGAAGGGCTCTTCTCAGGGGTGATATATATTTCGTCTAGTCTTTGTGTTGGAAAAAAAAAAACAGCGCGGAGAGGAGAACTGACCCTGAGCTGTGATGTCAGACTCTGAGCTGCATCACTTTAGGGTTCTTAACTATATTCTCTTTAATATGAAATCCTCTCAATCTTCTGCCCGACTCTCACATGCATGGAATAATAAAGACGTTTAGCTTTAGATGCAGCCTGAGGGTCTGCATATATCGTTCAGAATCCTGTGAATTTGAAAGAGAAAATCATTAATATTCTTTAAAGATGGCATAAAATGGCTTTTGCAACACATTTAAACTCCTTAATGTGACGCATTCCAGAGTGAAATAGAATAGTTAGTCTAAGGGTGTGTAATATATAATACTACATAATAATATATAACTAATTGTTTTATTTTGGTGAAGTATGATGTCCCAAATTGTGTGGTTTGTTGAGGAGAGGTGTATTAATTTTTTGAAGCAATTTTTGTAATTTTCACTTTGTGGACGCTAAAATAAGAGAAAAGAGTAGTGAGTCATCATGTCTAGAGACCAGAATATTCCAGAGAATTGCTAACCACTTAGCAAACAATCACCCAGAAACTGGCTACCACATAGAAATGCTCTAAAATCTATTTAGAAGAGCTTGGAAAACCACCCAGAAACCCCTGGCAGCTGTATAGCCATGTTCTTAAAAACCATTTAGAACACCTTAGCAAGTGCATAGCAACTCCTTGACAACCACCCCTGGCAACAGCATAGTACTGCTCTAAAAACCATTTAGAATGCCTTAAGCCTGGAATACACTACATCATTTTTGCTCCGATTTTCTGCCGATTTACTATCTGGAGAAGTTGAAGCTTGTTGCTGAAAGTCAGAGTCAGTTTGCAGATTTGAGTTGACAGATTCCATAGAAAATCGAGTAGTGTATGATGGTCTCAGACTCCGATTTTTTAGCTTCAGACTATGATTCCATCCAGTCGGAGGATATCAAACATGTTTGCTATTTTCAGCTGATTTTAGAACACATGTTGTTTTCATTTGTCACGCGTCTCCTAACAACAAGGCGCACGTTTCTGCCTGAGTTTGTTGTGATCGGAACAACTTGAAAGTCTGGTAGTGTGTGATCCTCAGTCGTTTAGTGTATGATGGCCAGTTTTCCTTTGTCACTATTTACAAAGTCGGTAAGTGTATGATGCCTGGGGTTTTTAAAAATCTGTTCCAATTTTAAAAGTCATGTAGTGTATTCCAGTCTTTAGCAAATGCATAGCAACACCTTGGCAACCACCCACAGCACTCAGGCATCGTGACACTGAGTTTTTCACAGTTCTGCTTGGTCAGTTAGTTAGGTAATATATATGTTTTCTCTTGCCAGTTGCCACACATTGTTGATTCTGTCAGCAAAGTCATTAGTTCAAAGGCAGAAAATGTTATTGCATTTTGATAAAAGATTTGAATAATGAGCACTGATGAATTAGGCACAATAAGACAAACGACATTTATGAGGAAAATAAATAGTCATTTTTGTTTCACATGGACTTGAAGTAAGATTTATGAGTGCTGTCTCAATGCAGACCCAGCCGTTCCATCATTTAGATATATTTACTCTTCTTTCATCTTCATTCTATATTATGTCAGACAAAACTGATTTAATGTGCTTATTGTATTGAATGGGTGATGCCATTGAGAGCAGGAGGTGATGGAGACCCCTCGCGTGTGTCCGCTGAAGCTGAAGGGTGACCCTGGCTTACTGAAGCTTTATGTGAAAGAGAGAAGAGGGCTTGGGTCAATAGAGACACCATGGAGTGCAGAGAGAGAAGAGAAAATGGGTTTTTAATTGGCCTGGGAGTTCTCGATCTCAGCTCTCTTTACGCACAGAGAGAGCGAATATATCATCAACCTCTGATTGATTGCGTTTAGCTCAACCATTGTGCACAGAGATTTAGAAAGTCCAGTGAAAACACAAAGACTGAACACAGAACTGCAGCAGATCGTGGAGAACTTTAAAATGCTTCCTGGAGACTCAGCGGCCTGTTCGCATTATACTTCGTGGGAAGATTTGCATAACATCGCCCAAATGTTCACACAAGAAAGAAGGCGTAACTTTTATTCTCGCTGTAGTATTGTTGTTGCCGCCGCCATGTCGTGGAGACGCTGTGTGTTTCATTGTGAAAGCGAAACTTCTTTGTTTGGCCTTCCAAAAGAGTATGATATCTGCTTCGTCATGCCTGGAGCTGATCCGTGCTGGTCGCTGAGGAAAT